TGGCTGCTCCTGCTTCCTGCAGTGTGGCTATGGCACCCTGTACTTTTAACCCTTGCTGATATGGGTGGAGACCTCGCCCTGGGGGCTTTTCTGGGTGGGGGCTTTTCTAGGTTCCTCTTCTGGCCGAGCTTTCCCAGGGTTTTCTGTCTGGCTAAGCCCCCCCTTTTCCTGGTCCTTTAGAAAGGGCAGGCTTTTGCTATTTGCTTGATTTGGTTTGGTCTTTGCCTCTTAGCATTTCCAGCTTGCTGACTTTTGGCACCGAGGGTGGAATATGTGGGGCAAAAAAGAAAACCCAGACCCAGTTGTTCTTGGGCCCTGGGGTCTCTAGCTGGTGCACTTTGTTTTCTCTCCACCCTTCATCTATTTTTTTTTTTTTAATTGTGGTAAAGTACGCCTGACGTAAATTTTACCATCCTCCCCATGTTTAAGGGTACAGTTCTGTGGTGTTAAATACACTCAAGATGTCCCACTGTGGCCACCGTCCAGTCCCAGAGCTCTCTTCATCTTGTAAAATTAAAACTTGACTCCCATTAAATAACAGCTCCCAAGGTTTTGGCAGACACCACCTACTTTCTGGTCTCCAAGTCTTTCAGAATTTGAAAAAAAAAAAATGTTTATCTTATATGTAACCCAGTGTCTTAAAGTTATACTTTGTGGAGGGGAGGAAATAGAGAAAAGTACACCTAGTGTGCTGTTGGAGGGGATTTCTTTACCTTCCATCACTTAGCAGACTTTTGACTATCTCTTTTTCCAGAGATAGTCAAATTTTACAAGGAAAATAATTATTTTTCTTTAAAAAAAAAAACAGAATGGCATTTTAGTCCTAGGAATTCAGGTATCAGTGGGCTGGAGGATACATTTGTGGGGGCAGCGAGATGGAGGTGGTAAACTTGTAGGCTGAGTCTTTCCTGGGACTCCTGAGGCTGCAAGTGAACCCTGAAGAGAACCAGCCCCAGACCTCTGCCTCCTGACCCCAGCCAAAGTGTTGTCACAGCTCTGCTCCTGACACTTGGCAGCCTGCCAGGGGAGGAACACCCCCCCCCCCTGTTAAGTAAACACTTCGTTTTCACATTTCACTGCTGGGGGTGGGGGTTGGAGGGCTCAGTCAGCCTAATGGGTTCCATATGTTGGCCTTGCTGGTCCAGGCATGACTAGCTGCACCTCTGATCAGATGTCTCGTCTCGTGTGATGGAAATAATAACTGCCATTCATTGTGTGTCTGTGCAGGCCAGACCTTGTGCACGGTGTGTTTTATTTGCAAGTCTTGCAGAATACTTGTATGCATTTAAGAATGTTTACACCAAATTTATAATTATTCCTATATCACCAGGTCAGCACAGCCGAGAAAAGGTTTAAGTTTTTACGAGAGCACCTTCTATTCATCATTCCAACATAGATAGGAAATCTATAAGTACAATCTTGGCATGCTCTCTTGGCAAGTGCATTGGAATTTAGAATACTTTTCCACTTGCCTTATTCTGCCCAGTCCTACTTTGGAGTGGTTGCAGATCCCATTTGCACATTTGTAAGTTCTTTTTGAGGATGAAGACGGAGCTAGATGATGCCGGCAGTCTTGCACCCAGGACCTAGCAGAGCATTATAGCAAGCAGCGGTGTTTGTCAATGTGTTCACATGGTCCTTGCTTCATTTTGGTTTCGGCGCTGTTATCTGCAGTGCGTGGCTCTTCTCTCCAAGAGGAGGTGTCTTCGATCTCCCTTCGTGATGAGGACACTCAGTCTTGGATGGACAGGTGACTTACACAAGGTCGTCTGGCTTCTGCATGGCTGAGCTGGGGCACCTTTGCCCCTCCGATTCTGGGGTCCTTGTTCTCACCCCACCCGTCCTACAGCCCCCATCGCCCAAGTCACACCAGTCAGACCCGAGCCTTCTGGGTAGAGATTCTCGGGCTCAATCCAGGACCCTCAGGACCAGCTGGGGGTGCTTGGTGCCTCTGTACCTGTTCCCTAGAGCAGAGGCCTGAATAGCAGAATCACCAGGGGAGAGTTTTAAAAATCCCAGTGCCCAAACTGCACCCCAGGCCAATAAACTCAAGCTCTGGGTGGGATCCAGACATCCAAAGCTTAAAAACCTCCCCTGGAAGATTCCAGTGTTCTCTGTTTGAGGTCATGGCGGCGAGTCGGAGCAGGCTGGTGAAAAGTCACGGATTCTGGAATGCTCTTTCAGTTCCCTGGGTGACCCCCTACAGCAGGGGTCTGGGGGGCTGCAGGCTGCTTTGGGAAGCTTCTTTTTTAAAGTACTTATTTGGAAAAAAAAAGCCAAATACCTGTGTTGAAAAGTAGGGTGCAGGCTGAAGGGGCCGGCAGGGGCTGCCTATGGCTCTGAGGTTCCCGGTTTCCGCTGTTGAAGAGTGTGCCCAAGGTCAGGGGGAGGGGCGTCTGCTCTTTTATTTATTTATTTTTTAGCCAAAATGGATAAGTGGGGTCAGGGCAGTAAGGAAGAAGGCGCCACCTGAGAGGCCCAGGCCCCTTCAGACCCTCCCAGCCAGGGCTCAGAGAGGCAGGACAGCTTGCCTGCTGTGGGGCCCCCCTGTGCCCTCCAGACCCCTCCTCCTGCTCCAGGGCCCAGAGGCTGACCTGTGGCCACAGTGGTCTGCCGTGAACTTGGCGCTCGGGCTCCAGCTGGTTTCCTGCGCCACATAATCGTTGTTTATCTGGAATTTCTCTGAAAAGAGGTGTCCTGGTTTTATCTGGCAGCTCTATGGCAGCTGTGAGCCACATGAAGCATCTGCCCCGCCAACACCAAGTCTTGTCATTTTTTTTTTCTTTGTGTTCGGTATTGGGGTTTGAACCTGGGGAGGGGTAGGTCTCGGCCACTGAGCTACATCTCCAGTCCTTTTTTATTTTATTTTGAAAGAGGGTCTTGCTAAGTTGCTGAGGGTGGCCTCAAACTTGCAATCCTCCCTCCTGGGTCTCCTGAGTCTCTGGGATCTCGGCATGTGCCCCGGGGCCAGGCCCATACTTCACCCTTTGTCCACTGTGTCTGGGCCTCTGCCTCCTGTTGCACCTCAGCTGAGACCTCTTGGGGCACGCGTGGCCCCGCCACCTCTCCCCTTCCTGTGCCCTCAGCTGGCCCTGCTTGCCAGTGCAGCATTTTTCTGCTGGGCCCTGGTGCACTGGGCACACGCCAGCCGGATCCCTTTCCTCCTACAGTGGGTGTTCTGAGGGCATTGGCTCCAGCCAAGTTAATGATTTACAGTTTAGGACTGGTCATTCAGGTCAAGTGATGGACGGTGGTATTTTTCCTCTCTGGATCAGTCCAGAACCCTTTGCATTTACACAAACTCTTGACTCTACTAATAGAACAATGCCGGTCTAGCTATTAACCTGGGTAACAGGGAAGCAGCCCTGGGACACAATCCACATAGTGGCCTGGGGTGCAAGTGAAATAGGGGTACGGCCACCCGGGGTCTGGCCCTATCTCCTAGGGAGGGTGGGGCACAGGGCCTCCCTGTAGACTGCACCACACCCCCCAGGCAGGCCCTCCTCCCCCCAACCACCGGGGTGCTTGGTAGCCAGAGGCTACACCCGGTGAGACCCAGCAGGGTGCCGCCCCTCCCCTCTGGACCTGAGGGCCGGTCTTCCCCAGGCAGCTAGCTCCTTGGCAGCTGGACTCCTATGGACTCTTGTCCTCTCCCTGGCATTCATCCTGCCTCCCTAAGGAGATAGGTCCAAAGGCACCGCCCTGAGAGTGGGCCCCAGCAGGGAGGGAGCAGTTCCGCAGTGCCTTACTGAGAGCTCCTATGCAGGGATGCCCAGGCTGAGAGATGCTGGCCGTCCTGAGTGACAGGGCATAGAGGATGCCAGAGGAGAAGTCCCCAGGTCCCCTCTCTGCCTCTAGGTCTCTTGCTCCTCTCTTCCTTAGACTGCTACCTACTGGCTGACACTGACACTAGCAGTTATTTGTTATTCATTGGAAACTCCAGTTTTGGGGGGGGTGGAGGGGTAGAGGGGTGGAGGGGTGGGGGTGTGTCCTTGTTCTTATTCACCAACTCTGGTGTGACCCAGGGCTGAGGCCAGCTGCTCCCTTAGGCTCTCGGGAGTCCAGCGGGTATGAGGTTCTGAGCTGAGTGAGTCAGAGGCAGAGCCCTAGGGCAGGTATGGACCCTCTGTGTGCTCCACCTCACTAACCCAGGGCGTGATGCGTGTGGCCCTGCATTTCCCTCATCTTTTTGCTTGAACCAATAACAACCAGCTTAGAATGGACACTCCAAACGTGCCTTTCAAAAAAACCTAAAGTACAACTAATGTGAGCCTATATTTTTAGAAACAGTTGTGAGCCAGATGAAATGAAAACATCTCCCGGCTCATTCCCGCAGGCAGGCATCTTCTGGAGGCTCCAGCTCTGGTAACATAAGCACTCCTCTCCCCCGCCCCCACCAGAACCCATAAACTCATCTCTTTGGACCAGTCGGTCTCTTCAAGACTGTTGGCAGGATTCATAGCACAGTCTGAGATGGAGCAGACAGCAAGAAAAGGGATCTTGGCTCTCCTTGCTGGCTCCTTCCTGTTGAGCTGGTATGAAGGGCTTGGAGAATGAGTCACCTTTTAAAAGATTGTTTTTTTTCTTTGCGGTACTAGGGCCTGAACCCAGGGCCCTGTGATGCTCTACCACCGAGCTCCATCCCCAGCAAGATTTTTTTTTGGGGGGTGGGGGTTTCTTTTCCTTCCTTCCTCCCTCCCTTCCTTTCTCCATCACCCCAGTTCTCCCTGGGGATTGAACCAGGGCCTTGTGAGTACCAGGCTAGCGCTCTACCACTGAGCCCCATCCCAAGCCGCTGTCTTATTTCTGAAGCCGTCTTCAGAAGGGGGCTGTGAACAAGTGCGTGAACTTGGACGTGAGACGTATGCTGAGCTGCGTGTTGAGTGATGGCTGCGCATCTTGCTGAAGGCACTGAGGATGCCCTGCTTTTTCCCATCCAGCTGGGAGGTGGGGCATCTTCCCCAGACTGAAGACTAACACTCAGGCTCTCTGCTTTTCAGCCATTGCTGAGGTGCAGGAAGACACCAAGCTGTCCCCAGGACCTTTCCCCAGGAACCTGCCAGCTGACCGCATGCCACTGTCCTCTGTCCACCGCCGCGGGGTCCAGCCTGCCTGGATGTTTTCACCAACCCAGGCTGGAATACCACATCCGGGGAACACGGCTGTCCCCCAGGCGACCTCGGCTGCGTCAAAGCTGCCACCTATTGCCTTTAATCACACAGTTGGACACATAATACTTTCCGAACACAAAGATGTCAAGTTCAATTGCTCCATCAGTGTACCTAATATCTACCAGGACGTTGCCATTACTTGGTGGAAAGACGGGAAGGAGCTTGGAGCCCATCATTCCATCACCCAGTTTTACCCAGATGACGAAGTCACATCCATAATTGCATCCTTCAGGTGTGTGTGCTTTCTGTTTTTCTTTTTAGATGTTATTATATTGAAACAAAGCCTCCTGATTTAAAACAACAGACCAAACAGCCTTTCTATTCCTTCGGTTGTCTCAAATAGGTGAACATCTGTATTGTTGACTTCTTTTAAACTGAGCCCCACTAGGATTGTTAGCGGATAATTGGGGTTGGGGGATGGTGGCTACCTGTCCCCTGAGCTATAGGTCAGCATCCAGTGCAGCTAGGACAAGAGCTCACCAGTGCCAGGAGCAGTGGTGCACACCTGTAATCCCAGAGACCCAGGAGGCTGAGGCAAGAGGCTCCAAAAATTTGAGGCCAACCTCAGCAACTTAGCAAGGCCCTAAGAACTCAGCAAGACCCTGTCTCAAAAAATAAATAAAAATAAAAAGAGCTGGGGATGTGGTTTGAAGGTTAAGCACACCTGGGTTCAATCCTCTGTCCTGTAGCGGAAAAAAACAGACAAACAGAAAACTTCCACTAGTGAGCAGAAATAGTGCTTGTTTCTTTGCCGTGGTGGGGATCAATCCCAAGACCCTGGGCATACTAAGCACAGGTTCTGCCCCAGCTCATGGGAAGGTGTTTTTCAAGGGGCTTTAGAAGGTATCAAGGTCACCATTAGTGGAGACTTTAAAACAGTTGGCCCTCCCATTCCCTGTATTCACCACATTGCTCTGCCCTCCTCCCCCAATGATCTGTGTGCCGCAGTCCTCAGGCAGGTGGGCAGAGGAGGTGGAGGGTCAGCAGCCTAGGACATGAGGCAGGTCTTTGGCTGCCCCTCACACCTCAGTTTTCCACTTTGTTCAGCAAGAGCTAGCAGGAGGAGCTGGGGAGCCAGGGAGCCACGGAGGCGGGAGGTGTGTGGGGACTGCTTCATTCTACTAGAGATGGAGCTGCCCGGTTCATGAGCCAGCTGCTGCTTTCTCACCCACCCTTTGGTATCGTGCGCTTCTTCTGTTATGCTCGAATTCGGGACCCCCAAAAGACCACCAGAGACCCAAGATCGATGTAAGCAGCAAAGAGGTGTTTACTGCGAGCTAGCTCCGTCCTCCGCGCGCACACAGCAACTGGTGACACTGAGAGGCCCCAAGCCCAGGGTTTGCATCAGTTTTATGCACTCTTTGGGGAAGGCAGGGACCCCACATACATCATAGCATCTCTTAGCAAATCATCACACACCGTGGGAAAATCATACAACAACTCTTAACATTGATTAGCACATTCACTGGCGGAACAAGTTGCATAGGGGTGATTGGTCAGTACAAGAGAGGGATTCCTTTGAACTGATTGGTTTAGGCCACGAGGGGTGTACGTGCTGAACTACATGGTTTCCCGACATGTTATCAACCACCATAAACTACTGGGGGGTCATCTGGCATCCCAGGTATTTCCCTGTCTCATGCTGATGGGTGGCTGCTAGGGGGTTGCTATGGGTCCCCACCTAGCCTGACTGAGTCAGGGACACCTGGGGCAGCAGATCTCTCCTGTTATTTGTAGATAAACAACTCAGCAGGGTGGGTATGTGCCTAGGAGTGCTCTGTGGGTTTTTCCAAGGACAAGGGTCACGCCCCCTTCCTTGGACAGGCTTTGCTCTGAGATAGAGGCTGGTATTTCACTTCCTCTGAAGCTGTTGGGTTGTTGGTTTGCTTCTCCCCACTTCTCTTTTGTTTCTTAGCTTTATTTATTAGCATGTATTAATTTTACATTTGTGTGTGTGTGTGTGTAACTGGGGATTGAGCTCAGGGGTGTTATAACACTGAATTATCTACCAGCCCTTTTAAAATTTTTCTTTTTTGGGCTGGGGATGTGGCTCAAGTGGTAGTGTGCTCGCCTGGCATTCACGGGGCGCTGGCTTCGATCCTCAGAACCACATTAAAAAAAAAAAGATGTTGTGTCCATCAAAAACTAAAACATAAATATTAAAAAATTCTCTCTCTCTCTCTCAAAAAAAATCTCTCTCTCTTAAATTTTTTTTTTTACTTATTTATTGTAGCTGGGATTAAACCAGGGTTACTTAACCACTGAGCCACATCCCCAGCCCTTTTTATTTTTTATTTTGAGATAGGGTCTCACTAAGTTGCTTACAGTCTCCTAAATTGCTGAGGCTGGTTGAACCTGCGGTCCTCCTGAGATCACAGGCGTGCGCTTCCGTGCCAGGTCCTTTTTTAAATTTTTGGAACAAGTCTCGTCTCACTGGGTTGCCCAACACAGCCTTCAACTTTTGGTCCTCCCGCCTTAGCCTCCTGAGTAGCTGGGGATTACTGGCGGGCGCTGCACCCAGGTTAATCTGACATCTGGATGAGGTGCAGGGTGATGTTTCAGCAGCACACAGTGCACTGTCCAATCCCTTAGTTAACATTTCCATTTCCTTATGTGTTTGTGGTCTTGGAGCCTCTCCTAGGTCATCCTCAAATGGACCACAGGTATTGTGACCTGTAGCCTTCCCGCTGCGCTGCAGGCAGTAAAACCCCTCCTCCAGCCTCATTTAGGTTTTGGTGCCTGCTCTCCGGGTGCAGTGGGAGCAGGAACCATCCGGGGATCCTCCCGCCCTGGAGCGCGGCAGCCGCTTGGACGCGTCCTATGTTCACTTTCCCTGACCTGACTCTTGGCAGCGTTCCGCTCTGGGTCATGGCTTTCGGTGAATCATTTTGTTTTCTTTTCAGAAAGCCACCTTGCGCGGGGTTGAGTCACCGTCAGTTTAGTCTGTCAATACTTGCACGGAGAGGTACTTCTCTGCCCTCTTGGCCCAGGTCATAGCTTGCTCCTGGGTCTGCCGAGGTCCCCAGGCAAACAACATGATTCCATGTCTCCTCTTAGTTGTCTTAACTCTGTCTGGGTTTTTTATTTTCTATTGTTTTGTTTTGGAGCTAGGGATTGAAACCAGGGGCACTTAACCAGTGACCCACATCCCCAGCCCTATTTTATTTTTAATTTTGAGACAGGGTCTCTCTAAGTTGCTTAGAGTCTCACTAAATTGTCAAGGCTGGTGGTTGGTCTCGAACTTCTGATCCTCCTGCCTCAGCCTCCTGAGCTGCTGGAATTACAGGATTACAGGTGTGTGCCAGTCCACCCAGCCACTCGGGCGACATTGGACTTTTTATTTTTTATTTTTTTGCGTTGGCTACAGAATGCAGATGCTTTACTGCTGATAGATGCAACTTGGGATGAGAAAAGTGAAATCATCATTTAGTTACAAATGAGGGAGGAGTTGTTTGCAGGCTTAAAGAAAGAGAAGGCTGGCACATGGGTCTCACTGGGTGTCATCTGGGGGGAGTGCACCCCTGTGGCCTCTCTGGGTATGGCCAGCCATGTGTCCCTGGGTTCCTAGGTCAGCCACATCTCCCAGCCTCCTTTCTATGGTGATGGACCAGTGCCTGGCAGCTGTGGGAGGGTTCCAAGAGCGTTTGAGTGGGAGAGTTTGAAGCTCAGCATAGGTCAGGGTCTTAGCTGTTAGGGCCCAGAAGGAACTGGGTGACGCTTTGAGAAACTTAGAATTAATTTTGTTGCTTGTATTCAACTTACTATGTGTACACTCCATTCTAAAGGAGAATAATCTTATCTACCTCAAAACCAAGCCTTAAAGCAGGTTTCCTGGTCAGAAGTCGTAGGAATGATGACCACTCAGCTGACCTGGGTGGCATTCATGACATCAAAACCATCTTTATGATGTACTCCAACTTTATGAAGGTCGGGTTCAGGGGCCCCAGTGTCTGTCAGGTGTGATTCCAGGAAGTCAGAGTGACGTCATCAAGATTATAAATGTGTATGGCATTGCTCGGCATTGAAGGACATTGAAGACCCTAAACTTGCTATCCTTCAATTGAGATCTCTGAAGTCCCCATTTGTAGGGTGACTTGCCTAAGGTCAGGCGACAGCTGGCTGCTCATGAAATCATAGGAAGAGGACACAAAGTGTAGAGTATGTCTTGGCAGGGGTTAGGGGACCCAGCAGAGAAACACAGCCTACAGAGCTGGTCACGGGCTGTTCTCCTATGAGATGTCACTGTCATGTACGGCAGTCCCTGTAGGTAGGTGTGGGTGGAATTTGCTGGATTTTGGAAATGAGGAGGTCTCCAGACTGAGGGCCCCACAGTTTGTATCTGCACTCATCTTTTAAGCACCAAGACTTTATAGGTGGCTGACCAGCCGCTGCAGCTGGGCCTCTGGCCGGGATCACAAGAGTATCAGTCACAATGCTGTTGCTGTCGCCAGCCTGGAGAAAAGGTCAAGATCCAAACCAAAGTGCGGGTCTCACTGAGTGAGAATTGCTTTCACGCCATCCTGCAGTCAGAAAAATCCCAAGTCCAGGGCCGGCCCTATTTAACCTTCTTAGCTGCGCTGGTCCCTGGTTATGGCTGCAGATGGACTGGAGGGAAGGGGATCCCGCTGCAAGGGCAGGGATGGCGAGGTCCTGGTAGTGTGCTGAGGTAGAGTGCCCTGGGACTTCAAGTCTGGCCACGAAGTGTCATTTTAAGGGAGAAGGGCCCAGCCTGAGGACCAGGGGGAGGGAGCTTCTGACCCTGAGTGACCACATCCTGCAGTCAGACCTCCGTTCACTGAAACTGGAGGGGAAGAAAGATGGAGAGGTCAGGAGTTCAAGAGCATTTAAGTACAAATCCCACATTCTCTGGAAAGATTAGAGATTGGGTACTTCTTCATGAGATGATTCCTGAAAGATTTTCACAACTACTTGGGCTTAGCTTGTGTGTGTGTGTGTGTGTGTGTGTGTGTGTGTTAAATTTTTTGAAAATGATAACATGTATATTTCAAAAAATCCTTGGTGGGACCACAAATTGGTACAAACACTCTGGAAAGCAGTATGGAGATCCCTCCAAAAATTAGAAATGGGCCAGGCTCGGTAGCACACACCTGAATCCCAGTGACTCAGGAGGCTGAGGTAGGAGGATCCTGAGTTCAAAGCCAGCTTCAGCAAAAAGCCAGACGCTAGGCAACTCAATGAGACCCTGTTTCTAAATAAAATACAAATTAGGGC